GAGGAAGGGAGATGGATAGAGAGTTAGAAACATCGATGAGAGAGAAACATCGATCAGCTGCCTCCTGCACACCCCCGATTGGGGATATGCCTGCAACCAAGGTACATGCCCTTGACTGGAATTGAACCTGGGACCCTTCAGTCCACAGGCCGATGCTCTATCCACTGAGCCAAACCAGTCAGGACAATTATTTAGTTTTTTGTAAATGCCTTGAAGTCAGTAAATGCCTTGATTACATAAGTAATCAGGATTATTGACATATTTTAAAATCTGTACTTTGAAAATACTTAGTAGTAAATGTGCTTTATTTAACAACAAATTTATTAATCTTATAAATTTAGTATATAATTAATATTTTCTTACAATTAATCAATGGTTCTGAAAATACTCATATAAATTTTATATGCCAATAAATTGTAATATGTATTAAATTTTAATGGTATTAGTTGAACTTTTATAAAATGGAATTCTTCCCAATGTTTTATAAAAATACCAAGTCTAAAATATCAATTTGTCTTAAATTCTTTAGCCAGTTTTGGAGAAAAAGTTTATACATGTTACAGTGATCCCAAAGCAAATCAATATGCTTTCCTTAAAAACCGGTTCCCTGTGCTCATGCTAGGGCTTTACATTTCTTCTATTTTTCCTTCTTAAACCTTGCTAACCTGGAAATTTCATATTTTTCTGAGATTTCAGAAATACCTGAGTCTATTTTTGTACTTCCCTTGGATTTAGTAACCATAACATGCTTAAAAAAAAGTTGTCTCTTAAATTTGTATATCCTAGGTTGTTAACTACATAATTTTTTTGTCTAGTCATTCATTGGAATTTGTTACACATTCAGACATGATTTAAACTCAAGTTACTGGCCATCCGATTGGACTTTACTTTTTCAGTTAAACTTTACTTGTTACATGCTGTTAGGCCTTTTTAAAAAGTTCAATCCCAGCTTTTAATTTTGTCCAACATTAGTGTCCCCTCACAAAATCATTTGCTTAAGTTCCAGTTGCTTGTGTTACATACCAGTATTCCTGTTATTATGATATATATTCCTGGTATATTAATATTATTAAAAACTCATCGACTTTCATGATTATATCTTTATTTTGTAGAGCTATTAATTTTTTATCTACCAGGAAATAAGAGACTATTTCTGTGTATTTACCATGTCTGTATATTCTGCTAATTTATCAAATGTCTGAAACACACAGTTGTGCCCACTTAGATTATTAGTGTTAATTAAATGCTGGACTCCTTTTCCATTTGGTTATTATGTGTGATCATCAGTGCTGGTCAGCCTTTTCTATTACTGATAAAGAACGAGTGTATTTGATGCAACTACTTTACTTACAAGTCTTTCCTAATAAGGGAAAATACATGCCTTCATATTTTAAATGTATATATAATTAGAAAAAGAACACCAGCTATTAAGTATTTTTAAAAAAAACAATAGAAATTAAAAAATATTCCACCCTGTTTACGATATTGTATATATATCCTTAGTGCCTATTTACATCCTTCATATTAACTTTTCTGTTTGAGTATTCTGAACTCTGAACCTTCAAGAGATTCAGATTGTTTTATTTAGCCATAATGATTTATATTTTTTGAAATTCGTGTCAGAAATTAGCCAGGGAAAAACCATTTAGGTGACTTTCCTTAGCCTCTCAACCCTGCCTCTGACTTTTTATTTTGGAGAACCCTTGTTTTCTTTCTGGCAACAAAAAGATATCCCAGAGATATTCTGGTTGATTTGTTTCTTTTTTTGTTTGTTTTCTTTC